TACTGGCATCTTCTCGATCGAAACCTCTGATCGAATCGTAGTTCTTCAGAAAACGGTAATCTTTAGGCTCTTTTGAGACTGCGGAATTCAAAACTGTGCTGCCTGAACATTATAGATGATGTTCTCGCCGATATATTGATCGTTTTCATTCAGTAAGTACGTTGTTGATTTGGTCCAAAAACATTCCATCAGGGCTTCTCTTCTTCCTTTGGAGTTTTCTGGAAAACGGTGCTCATGCCGTAAACGTTGTCGGTTTTAGCGAAAGTTATCAATCGATCTTCAGGTTTATTTCTTTCGTCTTTTCCGTATTTACCGCTACATGCGTCCGTGTAGTTCGTTCCTTTCCCGATCACTGCATTGAAGTCTTCTCAAAAATCGCGTACGCAGTTTTCTTCTCCATTGCTTCTGCCAATTCCTGATACAACTGCTCAATCTCTCCATCTTAAGCTAGATGGACTGTAAGCTGGGATAATTGTTATTGCTCAGATTTTGTAATTTGTAGAAGTAGAATCGGTAAACGGTTGCAGCCGTACCCTCGCCATATCGCAGTTTCGCTGTATCGCGCTTTTTGTATTGCACATATCTATCTAATGTTGTATCGCGGAGCGGATTTTTCACTATATCGCGGGATTTGCGGTACATAGGTATTTTAATATATTTATGATTTTAATTATTTTTGCGGTAAAATATGCATCTTCTAGCCTAAAAAATGACAGAGACGACAAAGTCAGCAACCGATGAAGAGGAACAAGAGGAACTAGGGGCTGGGAAAGAGTAGGAGGTTGGCTTGGCCTAAAACACGATCGCATCGCAACCATGATTAGAATGGCCAAAGAACTTTAATGAGTGGCTCAAGAATGCGACCCCCCAGATTCGCTCGTTGCAGTTTTCAAATACAATCGAGGGTGGCATGTAGGTTTATAAAAACCTTCTCGTCCAGAAAAGGAAACACCGCCAGCAACTCCCCATAACTATGTTCCTCACTCGGAAGAAAACATCATTTACACCTACTTCATTTGAGAAAACAGAAGCTATGAACGAGGGCGAAGATACTGCACCACCTGATGAAGTTGCGCCTTCACAAATGCTGCAATGTTCTTCTTGACCATGCAGTACATTTATCTCACCTTCGTCTCCTTTATCCTCATCAGTGCTGCACAGCTAACTCATCATCTTCATTATTCAAGTTGCAGTATCTTCATTGATCAATGCCCATATAGAATTTATGTTGTTAAAGTTCCGTAGGTTTAAGAGTGTAAAAACTGTTAAAGAGCATGGAAAGTGTTTTAAAAATATTGGGAAAAGTTAATAAGAATGTGGGGGAGGGTTTATAACCTTTTAAACAACTTTATTTAATTTTTCTTTTACTTTTCGTGGTCTTTAAGGCAGTAGTTATTCCATAAGAAAACGTTATTATAAGTTGATTCAGATAGCAGCATTCATAAAACTTTTATGAGGGAAGTATAGTATGGTTATTCTTTTTTGTTTCTTCTTTCATCTGCCTAAGAACATTTTTGCCTACACCCAACAATACCTTTTCTGTTTTTCTACTCCTTTATACTCGTGCCATTATGACATCCAAGAGTAAGAAAAAGGCGGGTTACCATCGTCACTCTTCTTTTCGTTATTATCCTTCTTCTTAATCATAGATTTATGTAAGCTATCCATTATTTGATAGAATCTGTGAACTATGTAAAATAATAAAATAAATACAAGGTCGCTTCTTCGCGGATTTTCACCTGTCGTGGGTGTTTCTGAAACTTAACCCCCACGATAGACGAGGGACCACTGTATATAACAGCCCAGAACAAATGGCACAGCCTTCCTTTTTATTTTGAACCCATTGCCACCAGCCTTAGCTAGGTTTTCGAAGGCCTTCTTTGGTGAGAAGAAGTTCGATACATCTTCCGGCCTTGCACGGATCTTCTGATCACGTGGTA